GAGGGCGTGTAGTTGGTGTTGTGTTAACCAGGGCATTTGGGTGTCTTCTAGTTTGTCTTGTATTTCTTGTGTTGACAGGGGTTTGTTATTTTTATAAAAGTCTATTAGGCGATATAAGCCTTTGGCTCGCCAGGTTTTTATCTGGAGGTTTTGTGCTGCATGGTGGAATAATGGGTGGTACGCCAGGGGGATTAGTGGGGATGGGGTTGGGGATAGTTTGCCTATTTGTGTTTTCCATGCTTTGAGCATGGTCTGTGTGTACCTGTTAAGTGTTGTGGGAATTTTCTTTAGTTTGTTTGGGAGGAGTGGGTATGTTGTGGTGCAGGTGTTTTCAATTGTGTCCCTCTCTAGGTGTACCCATTGTTTTGTCTCGTCTTCTAGTATATATGGGATTATATGGCGTATTTGGTTGGCAGTGTAATATGCTTCTATGTTGGGGATTCCCCATCCTCCTTCTGAGGTGGGGAGGTGCAGGTATTTGGAGCTTATTCTTGGTTTTTTATGTGAGAAGATGAAAGAGTGTAGTTTTCTCTGCCAACTGCGAAGTTGGGTTGAGGGGATCCAGATTGGGAGGGTTTGGAATAGGTAGGTTAGTTTTGGGAGTGTGATCATTTTGATCATGGCTATTTTGTCTGAGAGAGTGAAATTCATGTTATTCCATCTCTTTAGGTCTTTGTTAATTTGTCGCCACAGGGGCTTGTAGTTGTGGAGGTACAATTTATTGAGGTTTCTGGTTATTTGTACCCCTAGGTATCTGAACTTGGTGTGGCAAAGTTTTATTTTGGTGACCTTCGTGAGTTCTTTTTGGGTGTCAGGAGGGGTGTTGAAGCACATAGCTTCTGACTTTGTAAAATTTACCTGTAGGCCCGACACCACTGCAAATGTGTTCAGTTCTCTGATTAGGGAGGTTGCTGTGCTTATGGGGTCTGGTGTTGTGACCATTAGGTCATCTGCAAAGAGCCCTAATTTATAGGTTCTGCCTTTTATTTCCACTCCCTTGATGTCTGTGGCTGCTCGGATGCGGATTGCTAGGGGTTCCAGAGCCAGGATAAATAAGAAGGGAGACAGTGGGCATCCTTGTTTCGTGCCTCTTTGGATAGCTATAGTATTAGAATCCATATTGTTAGTTCTGCATTTTGCTGAGGCTTGGGAGTATATTTGTTTGAGGATTTGTAGGAAGTTGGGGCCAAATTTCATGTTAGTTAGTACTGCTAATATGTATTCCCACTCTAAGCAATCAAAGGCTTTGAGGATGTCTAGGGACATAATTGTCAATGGGAGTTTGGTTGCCTTGCTGTGTTCGATCAGGTTCAGTAGTTTCCTGATGGGGTCTGTTATATTGCGGCCAGGGACAAAGCCAGTCTGGTCTGGGGCTATTAACTTGTGTAGAAAGATTTTTAGGCGGTTGGCCAAGATTGATGTGAATATCTTGTAGTCTTGGTTTATTAATGAGATTGGGCGGTATGATTCTACTTTGAGGCTGTCTTTTAGTGGTTTTGGGATGGAGACTATTTTGGAGTGGGTATCAAAGTGTTTCCTCTTCCCACAAGGGGATTCAAAAGTAACTGCTGAAGAATTTCCACAAAACCTATCTCTTCAAGATCAAAGTCCAAACGGAGGCCCCAATCATATTTCTTTATTTTAAATTTCTGTATTCCATTTTGTCCCGGGACCTCCTCCTTCTTTTTTTTTTTTTATAAAATTTTTATTGGTTTTAGAAACTTTTTAAACAAAAAAACAAACAAACACCAAAAATGACAAACACACACGTACAGTTTCAAACACATTTTCATAAACTTCTTTCCTTTGACTTCCCCATACCCCCCCTCTCTGCATCCCAGTGTCCAAAGTTCCACTAGCAACTCCCAATTGTTATTTTCCAATCTCTATCTTCTTAGTTCTTTTTTTAAATTTCTAACCTTATATCCCTGTATCCCTTTATTTCTGAAAACCGCAACATTTTAGCATTCATTAAGTTTATAGTAGTCCTTAAGATAACTTTTAAATTTTCTCCATTCTTCTTCCACCGTCTCTTTTCGTTGGTCACGGATTCTGCCTGTCATCTCGGCCAATGTCATATAGTCCATCACTTTCATCTGCCATTCTTCCAAAGTGGGTAGATCTTGGGTCTTCCAATACTTTGCGATGAGTATTCTTGCTGCTGTTGTAGCATACATAAAGAAAGTTCTATCCCTCTTTGTCACCAATTGGCCGACCATGCCCAAGAGAAAGGCCTCTGGTTTTTTCGCGAAGGTACATTTGAGTACCTTTTTGATTTCATTATAGATCATTTCCCAGAAGGCCTTAATCTTCGGGCATGTCCACCAAAGGTGGTAGAAGGTACCTTCAGTCTCTTTACACTTCCAACATTTGTTATCGGGCAAATGATAAATTTTTGCCAGCTTGACTGGGGTCATGTACCACCTGTAAATCATTTTCATTATGTTTTCTCTTAAGGCATTACATGCCGTAAACTTAACACCGGTGGTCCATAACTGTTCCCAGTCGGCAAACATAATGTCATGACCAATATCTTGTGCCCATTTAATCATGGCTGATTTCACCGTTTCATCCTGTGTATTCCATTTCAGCAACAAATTATACATTCTTGACAAAGGGACCTCCTCCTTCTTCTTCTGTATCTTTCGCAGACTTATAGTAGATATGTTCCCAGCATTTCCTTGCTTATGTTCCGCAGATGTCAGCTTTTGGTTGTTGCTTCCCAGGATTACTTCTTCTTTTTCTTGTTGTTTAGTCTCTTCCAGCTCTATAGGTATTGTTTCCCATTCAGCTGTGAATTCTTTCTCGTTGAGGTCCTCAATACAAAGAGCAGAGTTGCCTGTTCCCAAGGTCATAGTCTCAAGTTGTTTATTCATGGCCAAGCTCTGCTCTTGTAAGATTCCCACCAATTGAAACATCCTTTCGATTTCCACTAGTAACTTTCCTTCCACAGCCATTGTATCCATTGTAGTTTCACAGAATTCCCCCTAGGGGGAATCTGGTTACTTATTAGCCTTTTCACCAACAATCCTTTAACTGATTATTATTACTTTGTTTCCAACAGTTTTAGCTCAATTATAGCTCTTCTTAGTCAAGAGATGACAATTTTTCCACTTTAAACCGGCCGTTTGGCAGCTTTGACAGCTGTCAAACTCCGCAGCTCCGCAGCTCTTACACAGGCACCAAGGCAGGACGTTCCCGAGCCCGGGAGGGGGGGGTTGTTTAAAGCAAAAAGAAGGTTCCCAAAACTCCACTCTCCAGCCCAAAATTTCCTTTAGTTAAATCTTGGAAGTTAATGTCCTTTTTAACTCACCCCACCAGGGGTAGGCTCTCCAGCTTAGCTCTTATGCCGTTGCTTAGGTCGTCTGCAAGGGGGGGGGTGCGGACTTCCTTTTAGCACACCCCCCGATCGTCTCCAATTCAAGGTAAAAATTTTATAAAGTCCCAATCCGTCTTACTCACGGGTAATTCTTTCAGTCCAAATTTTCAAGGAAGGAAGTCAGCGCTCTCTGGTCATGGCTCGCGGCTTCACTCCACCGAGGTAGCGATCGACTCTCAGTGCCACGCCACCCCCGTATCCCCTCTGCAGCCTTTAAAAAGGCTCTTTGCGAATCAGGGGGGGCGCTTAAGGCACCCGCCGAGTCTTCAGTCCGCAGGCTTCCGCGCCTGCGGTTTTTAAGGGTCCCCGCGTCGCCGGCGCGGCAAAGACCCATCCTCAGTGGAGCCGGTTCCCTCCGGAGCTCGGAGGGAATCCGCCATTTCCAGATCGCGTCAACCCGGAAGTCCTGTTCTAGGACCAATCAGACTGCTGCCTTTTGGATCCTATTGTTCTAGGACCAATCAGACTGCTGCAGTTTGGATCCTATTCAACTCAGTACATAACATGAAGTCTTCTCAGCCTCGGCCCAGTAGACCTGAAGGAGCGTCTCCACCCCCATCGTTCTGCCCGGACACTGAGGTCCAGCGCCGAGGGCCTTCTGGCGGTTCCCTCATTGCGAGAAGTGTGGTTGCAGGGAACCAGGCAGAGGGCCTTCTCGGTGGTGGTGCCCGCCCTGTGGAAGGCCCTCCCATCAGATGTCAAAGAAATAAATAATTATCTGACGTTTAGAAGACATCTGAAGGCAGCCCTGTTTAGGGAAGTTTTAAATGACTGATGTTTCAATGTAATTTTAATCTTTTGTTGGAAGCCGCCCAGATGAGTGGGGTAGAAAGAATAAATTATTATTATTATTATTATTATTATTATTATTATTATTATTATTATTATAAATTTTTATTCTGCCTCCCACTTGTTAGTAAATTATAAGAAGAGGCCTGTGTTTGGATCAGCCCAATGGCTCAACTGGTTCAGAAAACCTCCTCACTGTGTCCAACCCACAATCTGGGGGGAGCAGAACCGAGCTATCTGTTCGGTCTGTTAGTTAAGCATTTTTATTTATTTACTTGAATTGGGGAGGGGCTGCCCCCTGACCCCCCCCCCTTGGCAACGCCCATGTGACTTTCAGATGTAGGTATACAAACAAAATTAGATTGAAGTTAAGAGTTGGACGCTATACCAACATCTGCGGCTAGAGGGCGATAACTGGCTTTTATAGCCTGGCCGGAAGATACTGTAGTAGAGACGGCAGAAGACCATAGAGTTGCTTTCTACCCTTTCTCCATCTCTATGGAATCAGACGTCGCTTTATCCCACGGGCGGGTTCGCACTGGGGGTCCTGAAGGAAGATGTGGCGTCTACCTAATCCGCCTGCTGCACTTGGATTTCTGAGGGCGGGAAGGGGGGGCGAGAAGAGAGAAGCGAAGTTCGCGCAACAACTCTAGGGAAAAGAAACGGATCTGGCGGCAGGGGGCAGCTGCCGCGTAGAGATTGGGAGACGGTGAATCAGGCAGGCAGCGCTGAGGACAGCCGCGCCGCGCCGTTGCGTAAGTATGGAAGCGCCCGGATGAGGAAGGCCCGCTTTGGCTGTGTGGTGGTTTGATTCCTTTCCCGGCGGCGCGATGCGCGCGCAGGAGGCGGGAAAGGCGCTGGGTCGCCTTGGCGGCTTTTTGGCGGCGCCTGAGGCGGCGGCCGGGCGGAGATGCGGCTGCCGTGCGAGGTGTCGGTGGCGAGCCGCCTGCTCCCCTCGGCGGGGCTGCGAGGGCCGGGCCGCGCCGCCAGGGCTGTGCTGGCCCTCGGGAAGCCGCCCGCAGGAGGAGGAGGAGGAGGAGGGGGAGTCTGGCTCCTGGTCAGCACCGCCCGGCACCGCCCGGGGGCCAAGTACCAGGTCAGGCAGGCAGGCAGGCCGCGCCCCGGCCCTGCTCTCTCCCCCGCAGGGAGAGCCGAGCCCCCGGGGCCTCCTCGGTGGTGGCTCCTCGCTCCTGGGAAGCCCCACGGGGGGGGGGTCGCCTTATCCCGTTTGTTATAAAAGTATTTTAAATATTATTAGTACTACAGTGGTACCTCGGGTTACATATGCTTCAGGTTACGTACGCTTCAGGTTACAGACTCCACTGACCCAGAAATTGTACCTCGGGTTAAGAACTTTGCTTCAGGGTGAGAACAGAAATCGCACAGCGGCAACGGGAGGCCTCATTAGCTAAAGTGGTGCTTCAGGTGAAGAACAATTTCAGGTTAAGGACGGCCCTCCAGAACGAATTAAGCACTTAACCCAAGGTACCACTGTACTGAGGTCCAGCTCCGAGGGCCTTCTGGCGGTTCCCTCTCTGCAAGAAGTGAGGTTACAGGGAACCAGGCAGAGGGCCTTCTCGGTGGTGACGCCTGCCCTGTGGCACTATCTTATCTTTAAAAGACATCTGAAGGCAGCCCTGTTTAGGGAAGTTTTTAATATTTAATGTTGTACTGTTTTTAAACACTTGATTGGAAGCCGCCCAGAGTGACTGGGGAAACTCAGCCAGATGGGCGGGGTATAAATAATAATAGTAATAATATGTGGGGGGACCCCATTGCATATACAGCACTCTTTCTTCCCATGCAAAGAAGGGAAATCAATCTAATTTTGCCTGGGATACCTAAATATGAAAGTCACATGGGCGTTGCCAGGGGGGGTCAGGGGGCAGCTGCCCCCTCAATTCAAGTAAATCAGTAAAAATACTTAACTAACTGCCTGAGCAGATAGCTCGGTCTTGCTCCCCCCAGTATAAATGGCAGGAGGGGAGAGGGCTCTTTTATTCAAATCATGCTTGTGGGTTGGCCACAGTGAGAAGAGGTGTTTTGGGGGGGGACCCAATTGCACATCCAGCGCCCTTTCTTCGTGTGCAAAGAAGGGAAAGCAAGTGAAAGAAGGAAATAAAAGAGAGCAAAGAATCGCCTCTCTCCCCTCATAAGTCAAGCTGCCTTTCTAATCAGGCCTTTGGCTTTTCACTGTCTTATTGGTCTTTAAGTCTTTTACAGGGTTTTTTTTGTGGGGGAAGCTTTTAATGTATTTTCCTCCCTCCCCCTCTCGGGTTTTAACATACGTATGGTTTGTCTTTTTGGGAAGTTGCTTTGACTAATGAATTTAATAGTGTTTATTTTTATTCATTAAAATTCTATACTGCCCTTCATCGGAGGATCACATGGCAGCTTAAAATATAAAAACAAAAAAATACATAACATAGTAACAGACAAAAGCAGTAACACCCCCCTACATGCATGTGCACGCACACACAGTTGAAAAGGCTTCAATTAGGTTAACTAGGTTTAATTATTTCCATTTTCTTCCCTCCCCCTCCCCTTTTATGAAGATTACCCGCTCTGAGACCCCACAGCTAATTCTCCCCTGGCCTCCTCGCTGGCCCAAGTAGGACCAATTCAGCCACCTAGCCCACCTGGTGACTATCTAATTCTTATTAGATGGATTTCCCCCAAATTGATTCTTGAACTTTGAATTTTGTTGTTATTCATGTTTTTATACTGTATTTTATGCTGCTTCTACAGTTGTTTTACATTTGTAGTTAGCCACCCTGAGTCCGGTTTTCTGAAACGGGAAGGGTGGGGTATAAATTTAAAAAAATTATTTATTCATTATTATTATTATAAAGGCCTGGGAGAAGAGGAATGTTTTTGCCTGGTGCCTAAAGATGTGTAAAAAGGGGGCAGGTGAGCGCCCCTGGGCAGAGCATTCCTCAAGCAAGGAGCCACCACAGAATAATCCTGTTCTTGTGTTGCTGCCCTCTGGACCTCTCATGAAGGAGGCGCATGAAGAAGGGCCTTCAGATCATGCTTGCAGGGTCTGGGTCCATTCCCATAGGGAGAGGCAGCCCTTGAGCTTTTGCAGTCCTAATAATAATAATAATTACTGTTATTTATTATTTATACCCCGCCCATCTGGCTGAGTTTCCCCAGCCACTCTGGGCGGCTCCCAATCAAGTGTTAAAAACAATACAGCATTAAATATTAAAAGCTTCCCTGAACAGGGCTGCCTTCAGATGTCTTCTAAAAGTCTGGTAGTTGTTCTTTTTGACATTCCTTGGAAGGGCGTTCCACAGGGCAGGTGCCACCACCAAGAAGGCCCTCTGCCTGGTTCCCTGTAGCTTTGCTTCTTGCAGTGAGGGAACCGCCAGAAGGCCCTCGGCACTGGACTTCAGTGTCCGGGCTGGATGATGGGGGTGGCGACGCTCCTTCAGGTATTCTGGACCGACGCCGTTTAGGGCTTTCAAGGTCAACAGCAACACTTTGAATTGTGCTCGGAAACATACTGGGAGCCAATGCAGATCTCTCAGGACCAGTGTTATGTGGTCCCGGCAGATAATAGCTTGGATGCTTTCAAAGAGGATTGGGCAAAGGCATAGAGGAGAGGGTATTAATGGATACTAGCCACGATGGCTGCGCTCTGCCCTCCACAGATGGAGATAGCATGCTTCCGAATACCAGTTGCTGGAAACTGCAAGAGGGAAGACTGTTATTGTGCTTGGGTCTTAACTTCCTCTGGTGAGCCTCTGATTGGCCACTGTGAGAGGAGGATTTTGGGCTAGATGGGCCACTGGACTGATGATCCAGGAAGCTCTTCTTAAGCTCTTATGAGACTCTTGCCCAGAACTGCCAGCAGCCCCTCCTCTGCATGTAATGAGGACCAAGACGAGGGTGCCGTTCATTTATTTTGGCTGTCAACAAGCATCCTCAGAAGAGCCTGGCTGCCTCACCGTGGCCAAGCAGGTGCCTAGGGGAAGCCTGCCAGCAGGACCTAGGGAATAATAGAGGCCAACTCCCATCCTGCCCTGCCTGTAAGCTTCAATAATAATAATAATAATATTTATACCCCGCCCATCTGGCTGAGTTTCCCCAGCCACTCTGGGCGGCTCCCAATCAAATGTTAAAAACAGTACAGCATTAAATATTAAAAACTTCCCTAACAGGGCTGCCTTCAGATGTCTTTTAAAGAGAGGATAGCTGCTTATTTCCTTCACATCTGAAGGGAGGGTGGGCGCCACCACCGAGAAGGCCCTCTGCCTGGTTCCCTGTAACTTCACTTCTCGCAATGAGGGAACTGCCAGAAGGCCCTCAGGGCTGGATCTCAGTGTCCGGGCTGCGCGATGTGGGTGGTGACGCTCCTTCAGACATACCGGTATTCTAAGGGCATAGCTGTCACTTTTTCCCTTTTATTGCGAGGAATCCTATTCGGAATAAGGGGATTTCCCTTTAAAAAGTGGAAACGTTGACAGCTATTTCTAAGGGTCACCTGGTTGGCACCTGAGGGAGAAAGCTGTAGTGAGGGCTGCTGGAGCATTGGAAAATGTACTCTTTATTAGTTACTTGGATTTATCTGTAGCTCTGATCAGAACATGCGGGTCCCTTAAGAGGCAGAGAACAGAAGCAAAGAGCGACATGGCAACAGCCACGTTAGCAAAGCTGGAGGACGTGCCCAAGAAAAGGGGCTGCAAAAATTTATCAGGCTTGAAGTCCCCAGATACTCAAGGTGAAGTACTTCCTGGAGCTGAAGAACTAGATTAGGACACTGAAATCGGATACTAATTCCACTAATGAATTGGCAATTACTTGGCCACTGTGTAAAATGCTTTGAAAATTACAGATAATATGTTGTTTGGAAAGCAGAAGCCCTTCCAAAGCTGCTTTTGTCAAATATTAGCTTTGTATATGATTATTCGGCGGCCTCCGTCTTCCTGCTCTGAACTTGTGCTTTCAGTCCTTATCACCTTGGTCCTGGTTTGAAAAGCCATGGGGCAGATCTGGGATATTGCAGTGGTGAATAGGGAACAGTGGAGGGTTAAGGTGCCATTTGCTCCAGGGGAGTGGGAAGCTGTGCCACCAATATTTTAAGAAGAGCTTTGTTGAATCAGGCTCAGCTTTCGGACACTGGCCAATCACAGGGGGCTTTATAAAATGAACAAATTGTGAATCCCTTCCCACATTTTTAAAGCCGGAATATCTGGTTGGCAATTTGAACATGAAGCTTGTTTTTGGGTTCTCAGCAGGGAATGTTTACTTACAGGCTCATGGCTCTATTGTGCTCTTTTCCTTTTGAAAACAGCTGAGAGAGAACATAGAACATCTCTTTACTAAGTTCGTGGAGGAAGGAAAAGCCACCGTACGGCTGAAGGAGCCAGCCGTGGACATCTGTCTCAGCAAGGTATGGCGTCAGGCCAGGGGCAGCAGATGGTCTTCTAACTGCGTGTTCTCACTTGCCAAATTAGGGTGGTGTCAAGGTAGCCCTTCTTAGATGACAGGAAAGACATGCACCCTCCCCAACCTCTAACCTGTCTCTGCTGAAATGATTAAATTTGGGGTTGATTCACAGGAGTTTGGATGCAGCAGGAAGCTCGTTAGCTTCTCCTTTGATCTTCCAAGGTTAAGAAATAGCGGTTGGGAGCTTTGTGACGTCTTGGCCATTTCACAGTGAAGAGATAAAAATTCATCGTAATGTATGTGCTTCATTGATTCTTAAGCAGAGGTTGGGTGGCCATCTGTCATGTATGATCTAGTTGAGATTCTGGCATCGCAGGGGCTTGGATCAGAGGACCCTTGAGGTCCCTTCCAAGTCTACAATTCTATGATTCTACTTGTTTACGTTATGTAGATATCATTATATATATATACCGTATTTTTTGCACCATAATGCTCACTTTTTTCCTTCTAGAAAGTAAGGGGAAATGTCTGTGCGTGTTATGGAGCGAATGCCTGCGGGTGGCGGGGGGGAACTGCTGCAGTCGTGAGCAGAGGATCCATGGTTCCCCTTCCTTCCCTCCTCCATGGTTACAAAGCATGGATCCACATGGATCCTCAGGATTTTTGCATTGGGCTACTCCAAACTCACTGTCGGATCACATGTCTGTGGCCACAGCATGAACCACAAAAATCATATATCCACTATTTCGTTTAGAATATTTTTTTTCTTGTTTTCCTCCTCTAAAAACTACGTGTTATGGTCTGGTGCGTGTGATAGAGCGAAAAATACGGTGTATATATATAGAGAGAGAGAGCGCGCACGCTATATGTATATCTCTATCTATATTAAATCCATAACTGCCAGTTGCTGGGGACCTGGAGTGGGGAGAGTGCTGTTCCTCTCGGGTCCTGCTGGTGGGTTTCCCACAGGCATCTAGTTGGCCACTGTGAGAACAGGGTGCTGGACCAGATGGGCCATTGGGCTTATTATGGTCCCCATATATATTTCATTTCTTAAGCTAGTGAACAGATTGGGAGCAATATCTTGCAACTTAAAAAATACCTTTCATCAATGTTGATTCTGGCTGGCAAGTTTTATATTTGCATCATTTTAGAAATGAGGTAGATAAGAGATTTTCTCGTTGTTTTGAGAATGATTTTTAAGTTTAAGCTTTGTGCTTCAGAACAATGCAGGTTTCGGTTTGTAGGACCAGATTATTCATGAAAGTTGTACAGTGTGACAATGCTGAAGCTTTCTTCTGCTGTCTCAATAGTTAGTCCTGTTCTTACAGGCCCCGCTTAATATTAGAGCAGTATTTGCCCAGCCTCCCTCGATGCCCCTGTTGACAGTGTGGTTTGTTAATTGTGGGAGAGGCAATGCTAGACAGAAATGCATTGGGCTTTCTTCCCCATTCGCTTTCCAAAGGCTGCCACCTGATCCTTTCCCACGTGTTGGTGTCATGGTTCAGAAAGTGCCAGCGCATTGACAAAAGCGTTGAATCTGCAAATGCTTATTATCTTGGTGTCCTATTTGGCTGCAGGCAAATGTCGGCCACCTGAAGACTTTCCTCTCTGCAATGAAGCTGGCTGACCGAGGCACCAGCGAGGAGAGCTTACCGCTGTCCACCTTGGCCCCACCGAAAGCTTCTGAAGTTGAGAAGCCAAAGACAAAGATGACCATAACATCCAGGAAGGATTATCCTTTCACCCAGAGCTTCCCGTACACTCTGGAGCAACTCCAGGCCTCTTACTGCAAATTACCCCGCATCGATATGCGCATACTCTGCCTGAAGAGCCTCCGGAAACTGGACTTGAGCCACAACCTTATCAAGAAGCTGCCAGTCACAATTGGGGATCTCGTGTCCCTCCAGGAGTTGAGCCTACAGGGCAACCTCCTGGAGTCCTTTGGCGCGGCCCTCTGTAATTCCACCCTCCGGAAGTCACTCCAGTCTCTGGATCTCAGCCAGAACAAAATCAAAGCGCTTCCAGCCCAGTTCTGCCAGTTGCGGGAGCTCGTTCACTTGAAGCTGGATGACAACGACCTGATCAGGCTGCCGTTCAAGATCGGTCAACTGAGCCAGCTCCGCTTCTTGTCCGTGGCTCGGAACAAGCTTCCTTTTCTACCCAACAGCTTTGGAAAACTCTCCCTTGAGAGCCTGGATTTATTTGGCAATCCTTTTGAGCAGCCCAATCCCCTTGCTCCCGACATACAGCTAAAAATACCACTGACTTTGTGGGAACATTCAGCTAGAGCAACGATCAATTACAGGTAAAGGGGTTGGGGGGGAAGTTTCTGAATCCCAGAAGCGGTGCATCCCTTTCCTTCCTCTTGTTTCTTACAGTCCATAATCATATCAACGCTTTAGGACTTTTCCTAAAGTGTTGAGATTATTGTTGAGTGTAAGAAACAATTGTAGCGGGAAGGAAAAGTAGGTAAAGCTCATGGAAGAATTTCAGAAAGGCCTTAGGATGATGTGTTGATGTGCATTTGTGGGGTTTCTTCTACAAATACAGTATTTAGTGACTTGCAGAAGATCCCGGAGTCAGTCCCTGACGGTTCCAGGTAGGGTTGGGAAAGAGGCCTGGCTGGCGTGGAAGCCTTGGAAGTCTCTGCAAGTCAGGGTAGACCTGAGCAGTTACGTTCTCAAACTGTGGACTGTGGGCCACAGGTCCCCTCCGCTCCTCCACCCACGTGGCCCATAGAAAGCTTTGGGATCTCTGTTCCCAGGACTTTCATAATACAGTGTTTCTTTTGGCAAGGATGCTGAGGCTGGAGAGGAACCAAGTGCATTAAGTGATCCTCTGAGACCTCCAGCAATCTTCCAGAGGTTTCCCAAAAGGGGGGAAAAGGGCAATGTATTGTGTTCACAGTATCGAGCTAGAGAGACCAGACATCTGACTCACCATGGCCCTGTAAGGTAAAGGTAAAGGTACCCCTGCCCGTACGGGCCAGTCTTGACAGACTCTGGGGTTGTGCGCCCATCTCACTCAAGAGGCCGGGGGCCAGCGCTGTCCGGAGACACTTCCGGGTCACGTGGCCAGCGTGACGAAGCTGCATCTGGCGAGCCAGAGCCGCACACGGAAACGCCGTTTACCTTCCCGCTAGTAAGCGGTCCCTATTTATCTACTTGCACCCGGGGGGGTGCTTTCAAACTGCTAGGTTGGCAGGCGCTGGGACCGAACACGGGAGCGCACTCCGCCGCGGGGATTCGAACCGCCGACCTTTCGATCGGCAAGCCCTAGGCGCTGAGGCTTTTACCCACCCGCAACCCGCGTCCATGGCCCTGTATTTACACATAAATCAGAATGAATCTGTTACGGGTTTTCAGTTAAGTTGTTGAATTGGGCGTTTGGTAATTTCAGTAATGTAAAGCTACCCATAATCAGCAGAGGAATTGCCATGCTCATTAGGCACTTGTAGCTATTGGGAGAAATTTCTCTTCAATCCCAAAATCAGTTTAGGTCTTAACCCTCTTGGCGATGGCTGGAGGAACATTGCTGTAGATCCAGATCTTGTTTTTGTTTTTGCACGAGAGGTTAAGCCACTATCCAGTATCACCCAATGGGTTCTGTGGCTGAATTGAGTTGGCCTGCCTCTCCAGCAACCAGTTCCCCTTCATTGCAGTGTAGTGGAAGTGGAATTGTGCAAGTTCACCAACGCTTGTTTGTGCAACAAGAACTTCCGGTATCTCACACCCTCAGTCACTGTCATCTAAGGCAGATGTTTACAGTTCTGTTGCATAATAGCAACAGAATTAACTTTGTGGCATGAGTAAGGCTATTGGTGTTTGGAAGGGAATTTGGCTTCCCAAGGTGTCAAGGGCCAGACTCCAAGCAATGACACCATTGGATGTGCATGCTTGAGGAGACTGGCCTCGTGTCTCTCAAAAATAGCCATTGTCCATGACAACAAACTTCTTTAGGAACTGAGATTTACCCAAACAATTTATGATATGCTCATTTTTTTAAAAGTTTGGGTTTTTTAATGCCACTGAGCCTGCCTAAATAACATTAGTTTCAGAGATGGAGAACTAGTTGCTCTGTAGATCAATATCTCCTCCTCCCATCAGCCTTGCTAATCATCAGGGGTGACGGAATTTCTAGTCCTACAAAATCTGGAGGGCCATAGGTTCTCCAGTCCTGCTCTAGGTACTGCTCTTCTTAATGTTGTTTTTTAAAAAAAGTTAATATGCCAACAGAATCTTCTGTAAACAATCAAAGTGAGACACTTTCTTTGGGTCTGATTGGGGCAGGTGGGGTGTCTCTATTTAGAACTGCCTCCTTCCCCACTCCCGCTGCCCTCTGTTAGATGGGGTTTTTCTTCTGGTGGCAGACGACAGAACCACGAGACCAGTGTAAAACACTCAAACAAAGGTTTTATTACAGCTATACAAAAACAACAAACACAAAGCATGTGGGTGTTCTCTCCCTGCAGGCAAATTCAAACTGCAGCTTCTCCTTTTGTAGTCGTCACCAGCTGTACCTAATCAGCCTAGAAAACCACTCCCAGAACTCACAGAAACAGTTCTTAAAGTTACAATCCTCTTTTCTGTTTCTTTGCAGAATGACTCCTAACACCCTCCTGTCCCTGGCCTTGCAGACATTTGCATTTTTACAATATGTTTCAGCGTTTGGAGCACACACAACACTTTATCTCAGTTACAACCACCCCTTAAGATAGGCCTGAATACCGTATTTTTCGCCCCATAGGACGCACCGGCCCACAGGACGCACCTAGTTTTTTTGGGGGGGAAATAAAGAAAAATAAATTTCCCCCCCAAGTGCGGGGCTGGGGCGGGGGAAGCCCGAGCTTCCCCCGACCCCAGCCCCCAGAACAGGCTGCTATGCGCAAGCCGTGAGAGAGCCGCACGGCTCTCCCACGGCTAGCGGAGCGCTGCGTGAAGCCCGAAGCTTGGGGCGAGCTGAGCTCAGCGCGCCCCAAGCTTCTGGGTGCCGGCAAGCCTGTGCCCACATACTGCGTCATACCAAGACTGTGTTGCATAGACTTACAGTTTCCCCAGTTCACAGATTATTATTATTATTATTATTATTATTATTATTATTATTATTATTAAATGTCAAGTCAACACGCTTGCTTTGGGCCTCTTTTTCAGCACAGAAGTGTCAGCCTGTCTTCCCCAAGCCAGTGCCCTCCAGTTGATCTCCCATCAGCTCCAGTGAGCATGGCTGTGCTGACCGGGGCTGAAGGACGTATTACTCCAGGCAGCTGGAGGCCACCAGGACGGGGGAAGGAAGGCGAAATGGATTTTACATCTTTAATAAAGCTACATTATTATTTTTACCAGCTAAGGAGATTCCAGGTTCAGCAGTATGAAGGTCTTGCATGGTCACTTTGGCTCAGAAGTGTGTTTTGGGTGCATACATTCAATATGTTAATTTAAAATGCTTGCAGGCTTCTTTCCAAGACAGGCTTCCAGGGTTTATGAAACTGCTCAGCACGAACTGTATTCACATCCAGGCCTTGTTCTCTTCCACAGGCTCCCGTACAGCTGCCACGTCCTTCCTTCTCACCTCTGTCACGATCTGGACATGTCCAAGAGCTGTCACTGTGGGCGGGCCTGCCTAAGCAGCTTCATTCAGACGACCGTGACCATGAATCTCCACAGTGTGGCGCACACTGTTGTCCTTGTGGACAACATGGGGAGCACAGAGGCCCCCCTCCTCCGCTACTTCTGCTCTCTGACTTGCTACTCTCAGTTCCTGGACAGACATCTGCAAAGCATCCGATGACCTGAAACCGAAAACCACATGTGGTCTGAGAAGCCTCACTCAGCAACAGACGCTGTCTGATATCGAAAGCAATGCTGGGACACGAGGAAGCAGAGCCAAGAGATCAGTTGTCTCCCAGGCCTTTCCTTTTTTCATCATCTAGAAGGAGCAAGGGAGGCAGGCTTGCATTCTAAACAGAATGCAGTTTAGCAAAGGCTGCAGGCTCTTAATGAAACTCTCTTGCCTGCATAGATCAGGGAAGCTCCTTGCCTGAGAGTGGCAGGTTATGTTCAAGATGTGAATATCATATTCCTTCACCTTCCTGTTCATCGCTATGATTGAGCTGGAGGACTCTTGTCGTGCCCCCAAGCAAGAACCTGATTTCCCTCTCCTGTGCATTATAAGGACACTGTTCTACCTACAAAAATAGTTAGCTGTTTGTTATTTAAAGCAGAACATGTTCAAAGTGTGTCTAGAAGTAGACAAGCTCCAGGTTATTTTATCAGTCTCCCAAAATCTGTTCCCTGAAATGGTGTTCGCTCTGAACAGGACAGTATTAGTAGTTAACACAGAGTTTATGCTGATTTTTTTAACGTTCATGCCATTGTCAAAAGGAAGTTTGTCACGTTCACACAACCTGTTGTGTTGCTATTGAAGAACTGATGCAAAAATAATGTGCTTCAAAACAAAATATTGTGGTGGCCAGTTCGTCATACATTAAAATTTGTGTGCAGGAACTGGTTTTTCTGAGTACCAGATGCAGGCACAGAGTATTTTGGGAATGGTGCCCACATGCAGAAATTGTAGTTTGAAAGGACAGGGGTATGTGATGCAAGAATGGGAAAGGATTGGGCCCCTGCTAGTCTGGATTTTGCCTGTAAAATGTGTGCTCTGTATGCAAGAATTATTATGGAGTGCATCATATGAAGCAAGTTTTGCATCAGTTAACTTCTGAAAGCCTCTTTTATTTCTTAAAAAGAACAAATAAATGCTTAAGAGTCTGAAATGGTGTGAAATGAGTCTTGCATTACTCTTAAACGGAGCTGGGCTTTAGAAACAACATAGATCGCACCAGCATATTTCTGTTCCCTGGTCTCTGCTCTTTAGGATGGTGAAGGGTCTAAATTCACAAAATACAGTGACAGCACAGATAGAAACCTTTGGCCCATTAGAACTGAACGGCCTCTTTAACTCAGGGGCTGCTGTACTGCTTTCCAGCCCCACGGAGATGATGATGATGATGATGATGATGATTTTATTTATACCCTGCCCATCTGGCTGGGTTTCCCCAGCCACCCTGTGTGGCTTACAGAATATATAAAACATAATAAACTGCCTCGGTCCAGTATACCTGAAGGAGCGTCTCCACCCCCATCGTTCAGCCCGGACACTGAGATCCAACGCCGAGGGCCTTCTGGAGGTTCCCTCATTGCGAGAAGTAAGGTTACAGGGAAGCAGGCAGAGGGCCTTCTCGGTAGTGGCGCCTGCCCTGTGGAACGCCCTCCCAGCAGATGTCAAAGCAATAAACAACTATTTTACTTTTAAAAGTCATCTGAAGGCAGCCCTCTTTAGGGAAGTTTTTAATGTTTGATGCTGTACTGTTTTTAATATTCAGTTGGAAGCCGCCCAGAGTGGCTGGGGAAACCCAGCCAGATGGGCGGGGTATAAATAATAAATTATTATTATTATTATAATAAAGCCTGAAACATTAAAAACTCGGTACAGGGCTGCCTTCAGATGTCTTCTAAAAGTTGAGTACCTGTAGTTCTTTATCTTCTCAACATCTGCTGGGAGGGTGTTCTACAGGGCAGGCGCCAGTGAGGGAACTCCCAGAAGGCCCTTGGCGCTGGACCTCAGTGTCTGGGCTGAACGATGGGGATGGAGATGCTCCTTCAGGTATGCTCCAAGGCCGTTTAGCACCAACACTTTGAATTGTGCTCGGTAACGTACTGGGACCCAGTGTAAGAGGGTCATTCCATATAAAGTGACCCAACTTTTTTTACCTCATGTCATCCAACTTTCTTAATATTTTATACACTTGTTGAATGATCAAAACTAAGTTCAAATCTAAAATAAGCAAGACTTCAGCCAATAGAATTAACGCCTTGAAAGAATTCTCGTTAAGTACTAAAGAATTGTTTCAAAGTGTTTATTGTATCATGCAACAGCAAGCCATCGCTCTGCTATGGAACACATTTTTTAAAAATCTGACTAGCTTTTCAGATACCTTTTAATTGAATAACTTTCTAAAGAAATGCCTGAGGTAACTGATATTATAGGTTGAAGTCTTGTTTATTCTGCTTTATTTTACTCCAAAGAGACCCGTTTATCCTAAATGGAACCCAATAAGGCAGACATGTATGTACAAAAAATAAAAATTAATGTGATCCCAGTGAGATCCCAAGGTGAAATTTTGCAGGTAGCTCTTAGAAATATTAAATAACACAATTTCTTGGGGAAATTTTAATCGTATTAGATTTTGTAACAAATTTAAAATTTAAAGTACACCCATCATGTGATATACATTAAAGTTCTGAAGAGATTGGTGTTTTGAGTTTTGACAAATCTCAATCCTGGGCTGAGCTTTAAAGGTTTAAAGGCCAAAATGGTCAATTTTTTGAAATTTCAAACCCTCATAACTCACAAACGGAATGAGATAAAAAAATACAATTTTAGATTTGAACTTAGTTTTGATCATTCCACAAATGTACAAAATATTAAGGAAATTGGATGACATGAAGTAAAAAAGTTGGATCACTTGATATGGAATGACCCAGGTATTTCAGGAGAGGTGTTCTATGGTCAAGGCCTGGGCTGCTTTAAGAGTACTACCAAGGACATATCTGGGCTTGCGGAGGGGAGAACACTGTACATGAAGTTCAGAGTTCCACAGATCCCTTTTTTTTGTCAAAATGAAGTGTCAAAAGGAATAGTGGGGCTGTAATATATAGCTGCTCCCTTCCAGAATTAAAATCCGCTACCGAGGTTTCAGAAAATTCCTCTTCTGAACTCTCCAACCTTCCCCAGTTCCTTCTATGCAGCACACAAACATTTTCCTTTTCAGTCTTGTAGTTCCAGCCAGACGCTTCTTTTGGACGTGTTTGTTTTTAAACTGCCAAGTAATTTGCATTTGCTTCTGAGTTCCACCTGGCGCTTCATGCATCAGCTGCAGCAGGCGGATGTTTTGGAAAGCAAGGCCACACCATTCCCAAACAGGGAGGGATTAAAATGAACACGCTTGTTGCACCCATCTCAAAGCCTGGTGTCAGCAACTCCTCTTTTATTTAAATAACGTTTATGCCGCGACTTGGCAGATCGACAAAAACACAGCCACCCACATCCTCTTGTGTGCAATCCTAAAAAGGCACAACACAAAAGGAAAGCTGGTCGAAAGGGAGGAGGAAATATGCAAGTTCCAGTTCTTCCTTACAGATTCTTCTAACAACCAGCTGCAAGGGAAAAGTTCTAGGTAGAGGAGACGCCGCCTTTTCCCCCCTTCTTTGCACGGCTGAAGACTCTGCACATGCTCTATGATACCCCATCCCCCACTGAGTTAAAGGGGGAGGCGGGGCTTGCACTTGATTAAAGATGCAGAGGAGGAGGGGCAATTGTCTAATATTGTAGACCTTCCATGATGGGCCCCTGTATTCCAAGGACAGTCCCAGATTTACAGGAGCTGTCCTGGTTTCCGATTTGATCCGAGAATGTCCTGCTTTTCCTTAGGACAGGGGTCAGCAAGGTTTACCTTTGCCTGGGCCGGTTCACTCCAGCAGAGATCCCTCTGTGGGCCAGATAGCGTGCGCGATTTTCAACATCTGCGTCTGCACAGGTGCAATTTCCAGTGCTGCGGAAGTGAGTCCCCACGCCGTGCTGCGCCGGTTTAGCACAGCGCGCAGGGACTCGCGGAGCGAATGGCTCGGTTGGGGGGGGGGAGCTCATGGGCTGGTTAAATGACCCCCATGGGCCTTAGGATGCTGATCCGTGCCTTAGGACATCCCTATTTTCATCAGAGAAATTTTGGAGGGTAAGGAGTTATGCAATCCTGGAGCCAAGGAGATAAGCGACTTTATAACCTTCAGAAGACATCTGAAGGAAGCCCTGTAGAGGGAAGCTTTTTAATGTTTCATGTTTTTATATATATTGGAAGCTGCTCTGAGTGGCTGGGGCAACCCAGTTACATGGGCAGCTCATCATCATTATTGAATAGGATGTCCCTATTTTTATTGGGGACGCGGGTGGCGCTGTGGGTTAAACCACAGAGCCTAGGACTTGCCGATCAGAAGGTCGGGGGTTCGAATCCCCGCGACGGGGTGAGCTCCCATTGCTCGGTCCCTGCTCCTGCCAACCTAGCAGTGTGAAAGCACGTCAAAGTGCAAGTAGATAAATAGGTACCACTCTGGCGGGAAGGTAAACGGCGTTTCCGTGCGCTGCTCTGGTTCGCCAGAAGCGGCTTAGTCATGCTGGTCACATGACCCGGAAGCTGTACGCTGGTTCCCTCGACCAATAAAGCGAGATGAGCGCCGCAACCCCAGAGTCGGCCACGACTGGACCTAATGGGGTCCTTGGTCCATGGGGGTCACAAAGAGTCGGACACGACTAAACAACAACATTTTCATTGGAGAAATGTTGGAGGGTAAAGAGCCAAGGAGATAAGTGACTTTATATAATATAGGAAGCTGCTCAGAGTGGCTGGGGCAACCCAGTTAGATGGGCAGCTCCTCATCATCATCATTCTTGAATAGGATGTCCTTATTTTCATTGGAGAAATGTTGGAGGGCAGGGAGTTATGCGACCCCCCAGGCAGGGAAACAGAAAACACCTGAAAGCAGCCCTGTAAGGGGGGGGTGGGGAGCTTTTTAAATCTTTATATGTATGTTGGAAGCCGCTTAGAGTGGCTGGGGCAGCGCATTGAGATGGGCAGGTGACAAATAAAACCATTAGGCTCGAATGGCCCGTCCCTCTTTTCAGGGGAGAAATGTTGGAGATTTCCCCGTTCCGGCTGCCTCTGCCTCCCCGCTCTGCCGGGCCCAGGCCGCCCTCCACCCCCAGCGCCGGCTCTCCCCTCTCCCCGGCCGGCCGGCCAGTGGCTCCGGATGCGGAAGCCGCACGTGGAGGGCGGAGAGCGGCGGCGGCGGCGGCAGGAGGAGGCGGATCCGGAGGCGGCGCCCTCGTCGCCGCTGCTGCAGCCCCGGCGGAGCGGAGCGTGGCGGCTGGTGGCGCGTCCGGGGCGGGGCGGCTGGCTGGCTGGCTGGCCGGCTCCCTCCCTCCTTCCTTCCTCCTCCGCCCGCCCGCCCGCCCACGCCCCATCCGGCCTCGGCGCGGGGACTGGCCGCTCGCCCCTCCGGAGAGGAAGAAGGCGGGCAGGGAGGGAGATCGAGCCCACGAAAGATGCCGCGCGCGCGGCGGAGGGCACCGTTGGCCGCCCGGCCGCTCGGCTGATGCGCCCCGGAGGGAGGGCCGCGCCGGGCCCGGCTCCTCGGTGATCGAAGGGGCGGCCGAGCCGGAGACGCCGCCGCCATGAGGCTCCGCATCTACAAGCGCAAAGTGCTGGCGCTGCTGCTGGCCCTGGCCGCCGCCGCCTGCGCCCTGGCGCTTTGGGGAGGCGCCGGAGAAGCCGGAGGGAAGCGGGAGGCGGACGATCGGGCGCCGCCGCCTCCACCGCCACCGCCGGGAGACCAGCCCGGGGTACCGGCCGGCAGCAGCAGCAGCAGCAGCATCCTCCCCGCCCGGTCCGGCCAGCGGCTGCCCAACGCGTCGTCTCCGGCGTGGCTCCCCGGGGAAGAAGCGGGGGCGTCGGCCAACCGGACGCTGCACTACCGATCGCTGGTTTACCGGCTCAACTTCGACCAGCCCGTGCGCAACGAGGAGCGCTGGCGGGCGGCGGGAGGCGGCGACGGGGCGGAGGCTGTGCCGGTGGCGGTGGTGGTGCAGGTGCACGAGCGCGCCGAGCACCTCCGGCTGCTGCTGGCCTCTTTGCGCCGCGCTCCGGGCGCGGATCGGGTGCTGCTGGTCCTGAGCCACGACGTGTGGTCGGCCGAGCTGAACGCGCTGGCCGCGTCGGTGGACTTTTGCGCCGTGCTGCAGGTCTTCTTCCCCTTCAGCCTGCAGCTCTACCCGGGCGAGTTCCCGGGCACCGATCCGCGGGACTGTGCCCGGGACGTGGGCCAGGCGGCTGCGCTGCGCCTGGGCTGCCTCAACGCGCAATACCCGGACGCCTTCGGCCACTACCGCGAGGCGGCCTTTGCGCAAACCAAGCACCACTGGTGGTGGAAGCTGCACTTCGTCTGGGAGAGGGTGCGCGCCCTGCGACGCCACCCGGGGCTGGTGCTTTTCCTGGAGGAGGACCACTACCTGGCACCCGACTTCTACCACGTGCTGCAGCGCATGTGGTCCGCGCGCCAGAGGGACTGCCCCGAGTGCCAGGTGCTGTCGCTGGGCACCTACGCGCCGGTCCGGGGACCCTTCTCCGGACGGGCCGACAAGCTGGAGCTGAAGACCTGGAAGTCGACTGAGCACAACATGGGCATGGCCTTTGGGCGGGACACCTACGAGCAGCTGATGGGCTGCGCCGAGGCCTTCTGCACCTACGACGACTACAACTGGGACTGGACCCTGCAGCACCTGACCGTCAGCTGCCTGCCGCGCTTCTGGAAGGTGCTGGTGCCCGAGATCCCCAGGGTCTTCCACACGGGCGACTGCGGCATGCACCACAAGAGGCAGTGCCAGCCCGCCGCCCAGAGTGCCAAAGTCGACGCGCTGCTGGACGCCAACCGGCAGCACCTGTTCCCCGAGACCATGGTGGTGGGGAAGAGGTACTCGCTGGCCCCGCTCAGCCCCCACGTCAAGAACGGCGGTTGGGGAGACATTCGGGACCACGAGCTCTGCAAAAGTTACCGCAGGTTGCAGTGAGCCCAGCCGGGCCTGGATGGAGCCTCGACCGTTCCCCCATCGGGCCTGTGGGATCTATTACAGGGGGGGCGGCGAAAATGTATTGATTGGTTTCTGCTTTAATAGGGACAGTGGTTATTACAGAGAGAGAGAGAGAAAAGAAGTGTTTCTGAGGCAGAAAGGTCCTGTAGGGGAATGTTAAAAATAAACATAAATGCTACTTGTTTACTGGAAAAATAATTGACAATTTTTACCTAGGCCTTTTTATAAAGTGTTTGTGACACTTTCAAACAACCCTGAATTCCGTTTTTCTTTTGCAGTTTGGGCGTTAAAGGGTTGGGCGAGTGCCTAAGATGAGCAGGGCCCCCAGTCCGCAACTCAGGAGCCCCCCAGTTCTGAACTGGTTGGCGCTTTCTGAACAACCCCTCACCCTCTCTCTGCCAACCACTTATCTTACTAGAGAGAATCAGTCGTTCAGTATTCCATAATCTTGTACATGCTTGCTTGAAATTTGGTACCTTAATACCTGCAAAAGCCTTCTATTTTATTTGCTATGTGCTTATGAGAAAATTGGAAATCCATTTCTTTTCACTTAAATGTAGAAATATGCAACTTTTTTTTTTTTAGTTCTGCCAAAATAAAAAAAAATCATGTTTTTTGTAATACAAGTCTTTCAGTGATCCGAAACAATCCCTTTTAATTTTTATAGCGCCAAATTAAAAGAACAGCTTCAACAATGGTAATGACGGCACAGTGCAATGATACAAAGTAAAGTAAATTAACAACATAACATTTGAAGAACTGAACTGAAAACAATGACAACCATTTACCTCCTGTTACAGAACCAATTCAGGTTCATGCGTAGGCAGCCCAGCTTAATGAATAATTAAAAACAGGGCTGGGTGAAGAAACAGAGGAGAGCATCCAAGAGCTAAAAGCCCCAAGCAATGTAAAGTAACAGCATATGGAGAAAAGATATACTAATTGAGAGCCTAGTCTACATCTGTGTTAAGAGGCTCAGTAACCTTCAAAAGCCCTTCTTGATGAAAGAGCACAGATTTAATTTAACTATGTATTGAATGTTACAGCGCAATCCCATCAGAAAATTCTCCTGCACAAGTTCTTCGTAAAGTAAATGGGCCTTGTGCCAAAGAACTTCCCAGTGGATTGTGCCCTTCCTTGCCTCTGGAAAAAGGCACCAAAGATGAAATCCATTTCTATGCCCAAAATGTAACAAAGGCCCATTTGTGTATTGTGGTGGAGTAATACAGACAGCAGCAGAAAACACAAGATGGCAAAGTCATCTCCAAGGCACCCCTTAGACCTGCAGCAAAACGCTTTATTGGTGAATTTTAGTGTGTTCCTAGATTTTACAGGACAATCCAATTAGTGGAAACTACTGAATTCTGTCTAACATAATTAACTGCTGAGTGTTTTCCAGAACTTGACTTTCTGGGATGCAAATGTGTTTCTTCAGGTTACAAGAGAGGAAAGACTTCATTAGGTTAGTCTCCCCTGCTCCATTTCAATTTTGAACATGCTAATTAATGTCGACAGAACTTCTAATTTAATGGCTAGAAGAGTGCTGATGGGTTTTCAAGCGGGTCTTAATTGAGAGTGGGTTCTGGTGAAATCTGTGGGACTGAGAAGAGGGTTACAGTCCTGCTCCAACCGAGCACTGTTGAGCCCCGAAGCAGATCACTGGGGAACAATTCTTCCATTTAAGTTTTAGCTTCATGGTAGGTACCTGCCACATCCAGGGTATTGATGACTTTTGTTAAAACAATTGGCACAAAATCTCTTCCTGTAAAATGCAGGCAGTTTCAAAAGCATCCAGCCTAGCTAGGGTAGACAAATTAAGCAGAAGTTCTAAAATAGTCTTTGTATTGTGAAAACTAGTTTGGCCAACAGAAAACCTGAAACACATTTGTGCTGTAAAACATAGAGCCGGGAATAGATCTATGTACAGTCGCTGCTTGTGGGGTGTGCTATTCTCTGTCCCAATGGCAGTGGAACTGCAACGGTTGGGTACAGCCCTGTCCCTTGAGGGCATGCTTACTTTGAAATCAATTCCATTAAAATGAATAGGATTATCTTCCTGTGAATGCAGTTTACAATCTGGCTATGACACCCTGATCCAAAATAGATTGTGCTGCATACATTACAGAAAGGTTTTGAGTTCCCCAAAAACAGTTTTCATGCAAGCACCCAGGGGGATTTCCCAAGACAGTTGCAACAATTGACGTTCAGGAGACTTGCATGGGTTTTGATGAACAGAGAGCAACTCAGGGTATTTATACTGGTTTTAGCATCCACCATGAAAGCAAGCAAGCTGGTTTTTGCCCAGCTGGTGCTGTTGCATTTTTATCTACCTGTTTGAAGGGTGCTTGCGGAGTGTGAAAGGGATGCCCCAAAGGCAAGCCATACAAATTCACACCTAAAAGTGATTGTGGCAGCACAAGTGAAATGTGAGGCTTCTGAGACAGGACCCTTCAAATAGTGGGCTGTTGTTTCCCCATCAGCGGAGAAGAAATGGGAATGCTGGAGGAAGGGGAAGTTGGAAATAAAGGCATTATGAAACCCTGAAGTTGTGACGAGGCCTTGCGCAAGAGCATGGCTCAGTTGGCTCAGCCGAGAGATGAATTAGCCTTCTGCCCACACAGTCAGCCTCTTCGCTTTGCCCTTCCAGGGCGCAAGACGTCACAACCAAGAAGTCTCCCTGTTTCAGTCACCGGCTTCAGAACAAGCCAGGATCCTAAACGAAACTTCAAAGTCTGGTTTAAGGTCCCCATTCCAAAGCTAGTAACTAGAGTCTCCCAGTTCAGAATGGGAAATGGGAAATTGATTAGAGACTTCCTGGTTTAATCCTGGTTGTGTGCACAGGCAAAAGGCATGTTTCTATTTCAGTTTAACAAACCTAGATGTAGCCTGACCACGACCTGTATGTTCCCCTGACTACTCACAGCAATGGGATTTTGACTTTAATGAACTGCCAGTTTCTTTCTGAAATTCAGCAACATGCTGAATGCTCGACTAAACCCAGGGCTGCCAAGGCACTGCTCTCCAGATGTTCCTGCACGGCCACTTCCCTCATTCCTGACCTTTGGCTGGGGCTGATCTGGAGAGCACTGTGTTGGTAACCCCTTCCTGGAGTCCAATCCTTTCAAATCTCCCAAATGGAAGTGAACGTTTTTGAGCAGATGGGACCGGTGCTTTGTTTCCGCAAGACTTGTGGTTGGGGTTCTGCACCGTCCCTTTCCTGTGCTCTTTGGAGGAAATGCAAAATGTAAAACTTGAGGTTTTTCTCACTGCAGAGCCCGGCTGGGAGCTCAGCACATTAATCCAGTTCATACAACAAAGCATTCTGAAAGGCGACTGCACAGTGCGTTGTGTGGCTGGTAATGTACTGCACACTTCCATCCCGCATGTCTGTTTCCTTTAGCACAGGAGGAGCCGGCCTGCTCCTGTCCTGGCCCTGGTTGTTCTGTGCTGACTCTGAATGCACACCCTCCCCCCCTCTGGTCTGGCCAGGCTCCTCCCAGTTAAACTGGGCTTGTGGTGTGGACGTGGCTCTTTCCTCCTCCCTTGCAAAAGCACGTTCTGACTCACGGCACTCCCTTATCTGCTGTTTCCCAGGGCTTGCCAAGCTGGGGTTGCTGGGGTCAAGCTCCAAACAATGGCCTGGTCCCCCGCCAACTTGGCCCATTGTTTCCATGGATGTGAGCGGAGCTGTTTGTGCGGGGCAGCTTTCTGCGTCTGCTGAGAGTTCACTGCCATTTTCTTGTTCACCATCCTCTCCCTTGGGAGCAGCTCCTTCTTGCATTTTACCCAGCTCAACGCCGTTCTGCTCCAGCGGCTGTGAAAAGAAAGGGGGAGAGCTGTTTGTTACAGTTGTAGGCTAAAGGTAGAGAGAAGTGTTGCTGAAAACGGTCTCAGCCACCAAACAGGAACAACCTGGGCTTCCTCCCAAACAGGTCTCCCTTTTAAGTTCGTACCATCTTGCAATGTTTCCAGTAAACAGGGCTGGAGATTTTTGCAGGCCTGGCAGTGGACCCTGACCTACAAAGCTCTGGGAACGTGCTCAGAGGCAAAGTTGCATGAGTTCTGCCAGGTGGCTGCCCACTGTGTGCTCCTCACAGGAAGGATGATTCTGGCTGGGTTGTGCAAGATGCCTTGCGCTTGTCACAGAGCCGTAGTTACCCAATGCCTTGGGGCCATCTAGATCATGCACATTTCAGAGAAGGAGTCAGCTGAGGAGACTCAATGTGCATAAGTCATAAGTGGTGCACTAATTGGTTTTATTCTGATTACATGGTGTACTTGGACTTTCGACAAGGAACCTCACCAAAGACACCTCAGTAAGCTCATGGAATAATTGGAGAGGTCCTCTTGCAGATCAGGAATCGGTTAAGTATCAGGAAGCGGAGAGTAGGAAGAAATGGCCATTTCTCTGAATGGAGAGATGTAGAAAGTGCAGTCCCTCAATAATGGATACTGAGACCTATGCTTTTTAACTACTTCATAAACAATCTAGTTTCCTAGCCCAGTTTCCAGGTGATGTTAAATTGTTCAGGGATAATGAAACAAAAGGAGATTGTGAAGACCAAACTGGGTGAATGGGTGGTCAAAATGGCAAATGCAATTCAGTGCAAACAAGTGTAAAACAATGCATATAGTCTAAATTGGGGCAAAGGGATGTTTTGAGCCTCAACACCTTGTTGCTGAGGAGGACTGCATCTAAATCTTCTAAGGACCCTCTATGACAATGACCACAAGCAGCCAATGATTGGTAGCCAAGGTCCCTATGTCAACATTCTTCCAATCGTTCCTATGCAGCAGGACGGGCCACATTCTGTGATGCTCAGAAAACTTTAGACCAGCTCTCATTTTCACTGGCAAATAAAGCAGTCCTCTAAGATACAGAATAAGGCACAAACTCTCGCGGTGGCTGGCAGAGTAGCCTGGATATGAGCAGCAGGTGGTTGCCAACTTCAATATTCTTGGCCCTCTGCAATCTAGGACACCAAGGTGGTCTGTGCCACGGTGCTGGCTGCAAATGTTAATGGAAAAAGCTCTTCTGCTCCAGTGTGGGACTGAGAAAAATGAGAGCACAGATAAGGGAAAACACACCACGTAGATACCAACCAAGAGGTCTGGTGTAGGCTGGAATTGCCATCCAAGCGATATCAAGCTCTGCTCTCCTTTCAATAATTAAATGTAGAAAATCAAATATTGATATTCATTGCAGTTGGCAAGTTTCCAACAGCTAACAAACAACAGGTGCCAGACCCAAGGTAGAAATGCAATGCAGCCTCTGAGGCTTTGAATGGAAGCTGTAAGTTGACAACACATACAAAGTGTGAGACACTTTTAATTCACAGTAGGGGAAGCAGAAACGCCCCCAGAGTCCGTAAGCAGAGCTGGGCTACAAATACAGATGTCTGCTCTATCTTTCATTTCATTGTGTGCAGGCAATTAAAGAGAGTGCACCTTGCAACCCACCCCCAGGAGCAAAGTCCAGACTGCGGCCTTGAACTTTCAGAGTCTGATCCAAGATACAGGCTGGCTGAGGCACATGATTATTGAAATAATATTTGCAAATGCAGGATGTGGAGCCACACCGTGTTTGGTCTATTTCAGGAAGAGATTACAACTCATCTGCTGCCACATTTATTATTTGGGATATGCTATAATTTTACAAATTGCGAAGTTCTTGTAATGATTCTGCAGATTAAGTTGGGAGGAGGGGAGGGGAGTGACATCCTAGAAACCCTCATTCTGTGATGGGAATCTGACCGTTTGTTACAGCAGGCTATTTGAGAAACCGCCACATAGGACCAAGTAATTCTTAAAATTATCTCTGTTTTCAAGAGACTCTAAATATTAGGTGTCAGTCCAGCCAGCTGCCTCTGTTTATATTTAAATTTGGACTTTGCTGCCTCTGTTTATATTTGATTTTGGACTTCTCTTCCTTCCAAGATGACAAGTCTTCATGCTCTCCAAAAGGGCTTCAAAATCACAAAGCTTACAAGATCCGCAATAAGATGAGAAAAATCTGACTTCCGACATGTAGTTAAGATCCTCTCCAAATGCAGTGGAACAGTGTGGTCTGTTCTGGGAGCATGTTCATGGCCATCAGAAACATTCTTGCTTATCCTAAATCTCTCTCTGCAATTTAAATTCAATGTTTTTGCACAAGCATGGCAATCTCATTCAAACACAGAACATTCTTAGCACACACATGCCAGGGTGGGGGAGCTTAATACAGTGGAGTAGCAAGTTGCCATGTTTGCTGAACATTTAATTTGGAAGTTTTCAGAATCAATGAGCGCCCTTAAGGCACAGGTAAAAATATCCTTACAAGCAGCAAGGTGTTGGGCAACTGGAACTGGAGACAGGTAAGACAGTGACTGGTTACTCCAGTGTTGTTCATGGATGATAAGGCAGGCCTGCTGAACAATGCCTTACCTTTAATCTGATCTGACTTTTGCCCTCCGAGACATCCAACACTTCAATTAATGGCTGATGTTCCATCTCAGACAGGCTGGAACCGGACATCCTCGAAAGACTGCCCAGAAACTCATCCACATTGTCTTCAGTGACAAACCACCTTTCCTGAAGGGGAGAAACAAGTGCAAGGATTAAACTTTCCCTTTGGTTACAAAACACCAGCCCTTAGGCACCCCAAAGCTGCCGCAATCCCCAGCTCTCTTCTCCTCCTTAAAGCTGGCATTCTTAAATAACGGACGAAACCTTCAGCTGTGGCACCCACCCTCAATCAGAAAGTCACACACAACCAATTGGATCAGCAACAAGGTGTAGATTTTATTGAATCATAGAATCATAGAGTTGGAATAGACCACAAGGGCCATCAAGTCCAACCCCCTGCCAAGCAGGAAACACCATCAGAGCAGACAGACTTCGTGTTAGTCAACAAAGTGATGCTTTCCTTAAGCTACCATTATTTCTATATCCCTTTTCAAGCAATCTACTTATACTAGAAACCAGAATCCAGCTGCCTAATTTTCAAGCAGATCCTTTGGCCAAGCCTTTCATGGTGAGCTGCATGCTTGCAGGTGATAGTGCTTTTTCCATATGCTGGCAAATGGCACAAGGGCAGGCCGGGCTGGGTTGGTTTTGTTTCCTTTTTCTGTGATTAAAGTCTTTTTGCCAAGGCCCTTCTTCCTTGTGTGCATCTGTCTGAGGGATGTCATGGAACTCCAACGAAAGAAAAGTCTTGGCAGTGACAACTGAACTCTCAAATGCCCTTGCTACACAGCCTTTAGCAATGGCAAACCTAGACAGCATCTTAAAAAACAGAGACATCACCTTGCCAACAAAGGTCTGTATAGTTAAAGCTATGGTTTTCCCAGCAGTGATGTATGGAAGTGAGAGCTGGACCATAAAGAAGGCTGATGGCCAAAGAATGGATGTTTTTGAATTCTGGTGCTGGAGGAGACTCTTAAGAGTCCCATGGACTGCAAGAAGATCCAACCTCTCCATTCTGAAGGAAATCAGCCCTGAGTGCTCACTGGAAGGACAGATCCTGAAGTTGAGGCTCCAAGACTTTGGCCACCTCATGAGAAGAGAAGACTCCCTGGAAAAGACCCTGAAGTTGGGAAAGATGGAGGGCACAAGGAGAAGGGGACGACAGAGGACGAGATGGTGGGACAGTGTTCTCGAAGCTACAAACATGAGTCTGACCAAACTGCGGGAGGCAGTGGAAGACAGGAGGGCCTGGCGTGCTCTGGTCCATGGGGTCACGAAGTGTCAGACACGACTGAATGACTAAACAACAACAACAACACACACAGCCTTGCTTCCCTGGCACCCACATTAGAGTCCTTTCGGCACCAGGCTAAGGTGTTTTTGCTCACAGAAGCATTTTAACCTTGTGTAGTACATTTTAATAATTAACCATTTTATCTGTTGTGTCATTATTGTGCTTATGCTGTGATACACCCAACTGTACACCGGTCTGAAGGTCAGGATAAAGATTCAATACATACAGTAAGAGGCCAATTCTATGTTAGGCTGCATACATTTTTTTAAGGCCTTTGAGCAGGACTCCAGATGCAAAAGTGCTGCATTACTCAACCCCAAAAGACATTCACCAATGAGAAAGAAACAGAGGCTATGCAGATTTGTCAACCTTTTTTTCTGGCAAAGCACCAGCGCCTTGTACAACTGCGGCGAGGAGAAATTCAACAGGTGAAGCTTTTTACACATGGGGTACATGAACTGAACCATGTGACAATGAAATCTTCAGCCATTGAATTTTTGCTTGCCATACAGTTGTAAAAAAAAGTAGAGCAGATCCCCTATGAGGAAATGTTGCAACATTTGGGACTTTTCAGTTTAGAGAAAAGGCAGGTAGAAAGGCAACAGTGCCCAAAGCTGTTTTCTGGATTGCAGGTACATGCATGCTCTGTCTGGAGCCAAAAGGCCTGGGGCTGCCACTTCCTCAAACTCGGAGGACAGCTGGGAGAAGCCTCTGAAGAGCTCCAGCTAGAAGAAAACAGCAAATGGAATGGATGCCCCAAGGAGGTCTTTGGATCTGGCCTTTAAAGCTAAAGTAAAATGTCCAGGTTCGCTGATGAAGCAAACTGCCCAGTAGGGATTTCACTTTCCTCATTTGTGCCCATGTTCCCTGTCTGCACATCACGGAAAGAGATGGCTCCACATGCTGTCCTGGTTCACACATAATGCTGAACTGTAGTTTAATAGTAACAATAACAGTTTTATTATCTATACCCTGCCAATCTCCCCTGCCCTCTCCTCCTCCAGGACAACCAAGAGGAGGAAATCAGAAGTGATTGCTTCCATTTGCAGAAAACCATAGTGACTCATGTCCAAAGCTAGGGGAAACTGTGATGAATGTTAACTATATTTCAGAGAACAAGCCGCCTTCAAAATGCAGTGCATTAACTATAGTTAACACTGATCATGGTCCTCAATTTGGACAAAATAAGTATTTACAGTTGACTGAAAACAGAAGAGCTTCCCATTTCCTTGTGGCTTTTCCAGAGGAGAGGGAGGTGCCAGAGGCTCCCCTAGTCTCATTCTCATAACCTTACATCACTGTCGCCACTGTTTCAGAGTTAACAAAACCCACACATGTGCCCTTGGAACATGTCACTCTCAAGAAGCTTCACATATATTAAGATAAATTTTTATTTTATAACATTCATAGGATGACTTTATGAACTCATTCAATGTGGCTTACAGCCTTATAAAAATACAACTTTCAACAGGAATAAGATACTGTACATAAAAAACTTCTAATAGAACCACAATGTTAAGAAAACCTGCAATAATAAATACATGTCCAGCCCAGAAATAACACACAAATCCATCAACCAACAGAAGGCCAATGGCAAGATGGAACATCACTCATAGGTAAGTCACTGAACCCAACTGGGCATATTGAGAATACTGCACAAAACCACAATAACGATGTATGTCTAGGACTTAACACTATATGTCAGCACTATGTCACACTGTTCATAGGGCATGAAATAAAAACAATTAATAAAGCACATTTTGGGTTCACAGTAGTCTTTGGAGCAATTGCCAATGGTAAGAAATAAAGCTAACAGATCCATTTTTGCCCCTTTATCAGTAATACCCAGTGCTAAGTTATTAGAATTGAAAGTTTCTCTCCAGCAGACTGCAGGCATTTCAAAAGTAGGTCAGGCGCTGGATCTAAATTAAGTTAAGGTGCCTTTATGGTGAATTCAGGAAACAGGTTCAAAAGAAACTTAGATCTCAGAGCCTCTCTGCCTTTTTGCAAATCCTGCTGCAGAGGAGATCAGCTAAAGTCAGAGTCTCTACGGCAATGGAAGATGAAAGCCACAAAGGGGGGCAGTGGGGGTGTCTCCTGTGTATAAAGTATTAGCAATGGCCAGTATTAAGACATCTCCAGAAAGGCTTTCGGCAGCTTAATCAAGAGGTTAATAACTTTGGTGACACAAGTTTCCCATACCAGGAAGGCGGCACATGAAACTTAAATATTAATGGCTTCTAGAAAATGATGGTGCTTTTATCAGCGATTAAATCAGTAACAATTTTGATGGGTAGATTTTTCTTTTCTTTTCAAAATGTATTCTCTATTCTTTATTCTAGTTTCTGTGATGCATCAAGACGGCAAAATGACTTGAAATGGCCCTTGGTTTATTTCCTCCTGTCATTCCCATTTTCGAATACCATGTTACAATAAATATTCTAATCCCAGTTCTATATTTGTTACGCCTCTGCTTTGACAAATAATGCTTAGATAAATAGAAACTTCCAAAGCAAAGGTCAACAACGGCACCAAAGCAAACATCTATAAACCACTGAAAATTAGTACGTAACAGCATGTGGGGGCTCCTTTCTTTACTTTTAGCACTGCTTGGTTTACGCAAATGTTTCAAAACACTGTTTTGCATCTTACAATGTTTCTGAACAGTTTTATGTGCTAATGGGGTGTACTTTTAGGGAGTTGTTTGTTGGCTGCTCTGAGCATTTTCAAACAGAAAGGCAGGATAAAAAGAACTTTAAATACAGTGGTACCTCGCAAGACGAATGCCTCGCAAGACAAAAGACTCACTAGACGAAAGGGTTTTTGGTTTTTTGAGTTGCTTCGCAAGACGATTTTCCCTATGGGCTTGCTTTGCAAGACGGAAACGTCTTGCAAGTTTGTTTCCTTTTTCTTAACACCGTTAATACAGTTGCGACTTGACTTCGAGGAGCAACTCATAGCACGCGGTGTGGTAGCCTTTTTTGAGGTTTTTGAAGACTTTGGTGATTTTTGAAGCTTTCCCAAAACTTTCCCGACACCGTGCTTCGCAAGACGAAAAAAAAATCGCAAGACGACAAAACTCGCGGAACGAATTAATTTCGTCTTGCGAGGCACCACTGTAAACTGAACAAATAAAATCTGGTGACAAATGTGGAAATGTGGACTTAATTTCATCAGATATTTATAAAGGATAGGAAATGGAAAGACTGACTACTTTGCTCCACATTAGGGAGGACACTAGTTAGACAAATTTATTTATTTTGGGGAAAGGGCATGCCATTCAGAGAGGTGTGTTTTTTGCTTTGTGATTGTCTCAGAGTTGCTCCTTGTTACACTAATTTGCTGTGGAAAAAAGAAGAGGGGGGAAGAACTGCTTTATACAGGTCTGCATGAAACCTTTATAAGTTGTGCACGATTGCCCCATCCCAGTGTTGCTAAAGAGAGAGCTGTCTGTTAATGCCTTCTCTCTGCTTCCTGTTCCTTAACCATTGACTTACTTTTAAGAGGACCTCTCCTCTGATCCCACGACAGCTAAGCTTACTCAGGACTTTAATGCTCCTGTCTATCTGAAGTATAGACTAGCCTAGAGCAAAGCTGCCACCAAATACTTCCATCCTAGCAACCCACTGCAAATCCATTCAGATGACTAAAGCTGATTTGGGGAACTGGGCATTAAAATGGAATTAACACTGTGGACATAGTTTTATGGGGAAAGTGTGTATTATTAACTAAGGGGGATTTATTGCTTACACCCTGGCTTACAAAATGGCTTGGAACCCATTTGCCTATTACATCATTGCTGAAATACAAAGAGATGGAAGGAACATCTTTT